TAACCAACTTAACCACCTTGATGGCATTTTTTCATTGGCAAATGGCAGCATATGATTTTGTAAGATGTCACGATACGCAATTCTATCCATTGTTTCCTTAATTTGTACTAATGGACTGGAGCCGTTACGCGAGAAACAACCCCGCACTATTACAATGCCGCTAACAAATTTTACCGTCGGTTTTAGGTATTTAACATGGAATCGTTGTCCAGTAGGGCGTCGCATATTATTTTAGAGTCGCTTCCAAGCAGATTTAACGTACTCTCATTTCTCCATAAAATTTTTGACCACTCGGTAGTAGTCCAATTAAGGTGTTCTCAAGCAAACTCCAACCGAGCTGCTCTATTTTTCTTCGACACAAGTGGTTTCTTGCATGCTTTACGTGAAAAAAGATTATTTTCATCTAAACGACGGCTAATTGTCCTGCTACTAATGTTTTCCGAACACAGTTGACTTTTAATTTCAGAAGCAGTGTAAAATAGATTCGACTTAGAAACTCTTGCAATTCCACGATCTAGTTTTTCATCTATTTTTCCCAGTCTGCCAGTTCGTGATGACGTTTTAACAGTTCCATATTCATAGAATCGTTTTATAATTTTGGTGATAAGTCACTCTTTTAACAATAAAGCAGAATTAATGGAAACAATCACGAAAATATGGTCGGAAATTTCGACTGTTTTGTGTTCGATTAATTAATCAAATCTATACCACGCAGATGCAATACAGTCCTCAAATCCAAGGGTTATCCAACATCTTGTTAGACTATTATGAAAACTACAGACATTGACACATCGCTGTTTTTTATTAAAAGTGATTATATAACTTAAGCGATGTATGTTTCTTAACTTACGTCGCGCAGCTTTTGTCTTATTTCTTCGATTCAATTTAATTATGGCTCTTGTACAAGCATGTATGAGAAAAAACTCATTGATCATTGATGTATGGGATGTTATCTCATTATGCTATTTTTAGTTCCAACCTATGTATCTTAGAATACGTTGTTTCTTAACTTTTGTCAGTAAGTGTATATGTATAAACGCGTGATGTTATAATATCTGAAGTACAAAAATGCTAGGCTCTCGACAATAGTTTTCCTAATTGTGCATAGTTATAACGGTGTGCTATTTAGACTTATCGTAAATAATACAAAATAAAAAATATCTACATTTTTTAATTATTCTTTCAATGTATGCAATCTAGATGTTATCGTTGGTCGTTGACATGGCTGTTGCCAATGCTTATTTCAATAACAGCCTTCACAATTTCATAAAGTGCTATTAAATGGAACCTATTCTCTTATAAGATATGGATAAAATATTGTTACAGGACAGTTGTATATGTTATTAATTAATAATAATATTTTATTATTTCTTTAAAGTGTTACTTACTAATTTGAGAATGTTTACGGTTCGAGCTTAATTCGATCTGTTTTACGCGAAATATAAAATCTTGATTAGCAAACCACAGATGTCTATAACGCCTATTCTAGCTGAGCAAAATGATTCTTGTTTCTATATTATTTGCGTATATTATGTACATGTAAGTTTATGGCAATAGAGAATATAGTTTGATATAGTTATAATACATATAACTAAATATAATGCTGAAAGTAGATATGACTTAAAGAATCGATGAAATTATGATCACTCTGCACACATTTGTCTAGTTACTAAATTATAATTATAATGTTTATTATATTATATGCATTATATATGTACTTTATATGTATATATTCCTTCCTTTGAGAAAACATTTTTTAAAAAATGTGTAGCAGAAATTGTGTGACAATTTAGCACACAAAAGGAAGAAATCCACTCATTAAATCAAATTATTACAATACCTTCTCATGCTTATTATACATATTATACATGTACTTATTATGCTTATATATTTATTTTACAACTTTTTCTAGACCATTTGCGTTTTTATCTGCACGAGCAAACAAGTGAAAAATAATCATAAATAGGTATGGATATCACAAAACGTAAAAAACAAAGTAGGTACTTCGAATATATGTGTGTTCGGGTAGAAGGAAATGCGAAGAGAAAAATCATTTTGTTTAGCCAGAATCGCATTTTACATCAATTTGCGAACGCGCCAACGTCTGTGGCTTCTACTTGGAACAATACGTCTTACGTAGAAAATATCACGGTTATTACCGATTTTAAAAGGATATTGACGTAATAAATCACCGTTGATTTGAATGTTTGTCTAACAGGAGATTAATGTAGCAATCCTATCCGTTCGCACTGTCATGATCTGCTTTTACCACGAGCCGCATTCCTTACCTGATAAGCCTCCGCATAAGGCTGGATACTTGGAGAAATGCCAGACACCGAGGCCCGTGTTAATTCGATGCCCGAGAGCACTAAACAGCAACTTCAATTGAAATGTTCGTTTGAAATTCTCATTATCGCGTCCGTGCGATAACGTAGACGCGTAGTCGTCATTCATAGCTCTGAAACGAATCCACGTGGTCTACGATTTCTGGTCCCTACATTCCGCGACATTGCTACATTGCTATGAGACGTTGCGTAGAACCATATTAATTCATATTATACAAAATAACTTGTGCATCCTGTATATTTCAGTTTTATCATTTACAACCACGAAATTGTTAGTTCTCGATGAACAACCGCATCTTTAAAAAATTAAATTCGTACCACATTTTAACCCTAATCTAATCGCGGACGAGCTTTCGATTTTCCGATATGCAATCGCATTTTTAATGTAACTAATGATATAAAAAAAGAAACAAAGAAATAAAAAATTTAAACAAATTTTTTGAATTTAGTTCATTTTTGATAAATTTTACGAAATATTTTGAACGCGAATTTCACATTGCCCGTGGTTGGGGGGGGGGGGGTAAATAATTAAACACAAAGCATCGATCTTGTTCCTAATGTTTTGGAACTTTTATGGTTTTAACTTATTTCTAGAACTTTATTTTCTTTCTTGTAGAATTTTATACAAATGAACAATAGCACGACTTCACCCATTACTTATAATTAGAGTACGGATCTTTAGGCAAAGTAAAAAAAAAAATTGTCTGCATTGACTGTAAGATGCAGGATATTAACAGAAGGTAGAACATTTAGAACAATATTTTTACCGTTTTGAATTTCATGTATTCATTTTTTTCATAAATTCATAAAATTCGCAGTCTACTTCTTACTTTGCCTTTATTCTATTACTTATGGTTGTGTCGTGATCTAGCTTCGTAATTCTTAGATCAATTATATCATGATGCCGAAGAAAGTCTCCCGAAATAACTAAGACGTATAGTATACGAAAGAAAAAAAATCCACTCATATAGCGTAGATTTTTACAGCTTTATATCGGGTAAGACGTTTCAAACAGACCACGTGAAAAGAATGTGTCAAACGAAACTTGTTTGGTTTCGATGGTGACATAAAACCATGTTCTTAATTTTTTTTTACAGACGGATGTATAAAGGAAAAACTCCATTTTTTAAATAATTTGATATATTTTTATCTAATACATAGCTAACAGGGTGCCCCAAAAATATCTCGTAATCCGGAAATGGGGGTTCCTGAAGTTATTTGAAGTAACTTTTTCCTTAGCGAAAATGCAATCCGCGGCTTTGTTTACGAGTTATTAACGAAAAACAGTAACCAATAAGAGGCGAGCTCGGCTGGCGCGAGGCGACCCGGCCAAATGAGCGCACGAAGCCCAGTTCCGCTCATTGGCTCGACCGTCTCGCACCAACTTATCTCGTTCCTCATTGGTCACTGTTTTTCGTTAATAACTCGTAGACAAAGCCGCGGATTGCACTTCCGCTAAGGAAAAAGTTACTTCAAACGACCTCAGGAATCCCCTATTTCCGGATTGCGAGATATTTTTGGGATACCCTGTATGTATTCGAATTCGGTATATGCTACTCTCGAAATCAAGTAAGTTTCATCTGACAGAATCTTTTTGTGTATGGTCTATTTTAAATGCTTCACCTAATAGAGTATCTTATGCAGTAGTATCGTTGCGGAGTGTACGTGCGTTGAAGATTAGATAACGGAGCTGGGCTACATCTGGCCCGTTTGTTAAATCTGTAACAAACGGTCTTTGGAGTTAATTTGTCCATGTATTTTCTAAATATGCAATGAACGCAGCGCTTTTTCAACTTGTACGATCAATTCCCTAGAATCTGAAACGTTCAGAAAAAAAATGTTTTGGTTTTTCGAAAGAAAATAAAATCGTGGCGTGATATACTATTGAAAATCGATGGTTACCCGGAGAATCTGTCTGCAATGGCCTTTGATGCGCAACAAGGCCAGTCAAAATAATTTAAGTCTGCTGTTGCACTATTTTCTGTTTTTTTTTTCACATTCAAGTCGTTCATCCTCGAACAAAAAGACGGAGTTGAGTGTGGTATACATTTTGTATATGTGCCGTTTATTTTAAAAGTGGCATAAGTCACTTTACCGCAATGAAAAGTGGTGATTTTTTAATGTTTATACGAAATTATTTATACTGAGAAAAATATCAGTATCTTGAGATAACAAACACAAGTAACTCTTCTAAAACAACGTTATATGAGTACATAAATAGTAATACTGGTACCACTGTCGTTCGCATATTTCAATAGTTCAAACAAGCCAACTTCTTTATTTCGCGGAAGATTTGAAAAATCGTATTTTGGCCAGCTTTTTGGACCTAATATTCCACTGTAGGTCGCAACAATATTGAAGTCCTCTGTAAAACAAATTGAAATAGAAAAGAGAGGAAGGAGAAAATTATAGGACTTTCCGACGAGCGTAATCATTTACAATGTCGTATAATTTCCTGAACAACGAATTATGCAAACACACACGTCTATTAACGGACGAAATTGTCGTCGAGCGTTAAACCAGAAAAAAAAATATTCGTCGAAACGACGGTGAATCGAGTTTTACGCTAGCAATTACTCGAACGTGTGTTAGAGCGGAGAGTGTATTAATCGGAGTAATTAATGAACGCGTTTCTCGTTTGTTTCATGTTTTCAGGAGAACTTCGCGGGAGCGGCGTAGCCGGAAACGCGCGCAGTAGCAGCGAAAGAGGACGCATTTCCGCTTACAGCGGAGCCTCCGATCACGCTGATAGCATGGACAATCCTTCCTCGCGAGAAGATATTTCTGAAATGTATGTTTTCCACATTATTCATATTTCAATACACAAAGCAGTCTCGGAAACAGTGTTATAAGACACAACAAGCCCGTTGTCGTTCACGCCACTCTGCATTATCGAACGATGTCTGCACGTCGGTTGTGTTGAACTTTTTAATTGTCTCAATTGTTTTAATACCGACTGTTTCGTTCTTTCCAATAATCATACGATTGTCGTTTAAAATCGCGTTGAATTTTATCCTCCGTACGGGAAGCGTCTAGAGTTATTTCGACTGAGATTCCTCTACGTTGAGTCTACCTCCAAAATTTGTACTCCTTAACATAAGTAGACAATTGGTATCAGTTTTTTTTTCTATTATATCTTTTTGATATTAACGTGTCTCTGTGAAGCTCGGTTTCAAATACATTCATCACCGTCGAACACGAATTTTTTTGTTTCGATAATCAATTCTTACAGATTTTGCAATTTTTGACAATTCTTTCTCTCTTTAATTATAAAAGTTATACGAACGATTCCGTAGACTGTCGCACTTACGACGGAATTTTTGTATCATTATAAGCAGTTAAACATGTTTAAACAATGTTCACAGGAGTGAATCACCTTTTACGCGCCAATTTTTTCGGATAGTTGTGTACACTTTTCTTGAATACGAAGATTTTTAGGGCGCGATAAAGCAGATCTCTTATGCTCTTCGAAAACCATCAACAAATGTTAGAATACTATTAGGTTGTGTACTAAGTCCATTCGTGTTTTCTTGTGAGAAAATATAGGTTTATATCTCAAATAACGTTCTTTCAAAAGTAATTACAGGAATGGAAGTAATTATGAAATAAAGTAACATGTTATTTGAAATAATATTTCAAATGCGCCCAGATCTGCTATGCAGCTGTCGACGCGAACGAACTTATTACAAAACCTAATAGTCTTGGATTGAGAAAATAGAGAGTTCCACAAGAAAATAGTGGAATCAGAGAGGCTCGAAGTCAATGATCATTTTGCATTTACTTATTAAAATTATATTATTTGAATGGGATACTAGCGACTGAAAGTCACGTTTTCAGTTGATTGTATAATTTGGTTTATTTCAAGTAATGTAGCAAGTTTTTGATTGTCCCATTGTATTTTCATCTTAAACTCAAAATGATCAAGAAACGAAATAAATATCTAAGTAGCTCCTATATCTTGTAATTAATACAGACACTTCCTATTTCGCATAAAAATCAGCAGTCTAGCAGTAGCGCGTGACATGCTAAAATGTTTTAGTTAGTTAAAAACTATGCGATCCAGTTAAGTTCGAAACCTTAATTTTCAAATTAAAAATTCAATAATTTTCGAACTAAAAAATTAAATAAATCGATGAAAATTAATACAAATAAAACAAAATCGAAAAATGCCCGTGGAAATTGGTAGATCATAGTCGTCCTGTTCCGTTTAAACATTATTTTAACATATCTAACTGGTTATAATGTTACTAGTATATCATTGACGGTTGAAGTATATAATAAATAACTCTTGAATTTAAAGATTTTACCTTTTTCAAAAACTGAGGACAATATAGAAAAATGATTTTTCTGATTCGTGTTTAGTGCATCAAAGTCTTTAAGAATCGCAACTGATTACACTGTCCGACAAAATCAAACTTTTTTTCTGGGTTCCTATAGCCACTATGAAATTCTTGTAGAGCTTCACTGCTTGAACAAGAATCCGAAAACCGAATTGCTCCATCACCCTCAGTTTTTTAAATAAACGAACTTTTGTAAAAACCCAAAATTTTCGACAAAAATGAAGTATTGCATGAAAAGTACAAACGTTAAAAAGTTCTAATTGGTATTAAAAGATAGAGGAGAGTTTCCCGAATATAGTGGCATGCAATTTATTAATCGTTTTTGGTCCTAAATAGCAATAAATTGATGTCAAAGTTTAAAAAAGTGTCGACGTGAGCAGTTTCTGCGCAATAATTTTGTATTTTTACGAAAAGTTTTTTGTTCGGCACGAAAACTCTACTCAGGATCGGATTCTGTAGACATTTCTGAAGAAGAAACGGCCCGGTAAAAGTGTCGGAACGATATACATTTCGAGTAGATCGAGAAAATGTTCGACGGCAACATGTACACGATGTTTTGCCGCCATGTGCTTCGCTGCTCGCTTCTCTCTGTCCGACAGGGCCGAAGCTATGGGTAATCAACACCGACGGAGGGATCCAATGGGGCACCCACTCAGCGTGTGGGGCGTGCCATTTTTTTTAGTACTTCAATGTGCTGTCTTCTTTTACATATTTTTATGGATAATAATCACCAAACTGTGAATCATAAATTAAAAATGGAGAAATAATAAAAGAAAAATAATGAACAAAAAATATTCATTTTATTCTGAATTTGTTCGAATTACAAGTATATCATGTATACAGTTATCATTTAAATTATAACGATAATACGATCATGAATAAATAATCATTTTCAAAATGTTAAACTTCTTGAGACATATCGTTAAATATATATTTAAATATTTATTTAATTATATGGCGTAGAAGTCAAAATTATACTAGTGTTAGAATACTTTCGTTACCAACTCCAAATACTCTGGTGTGATTTTTTGTGTGAAATATATCACAGTTTGGTGATTATTATCCACAGAAATATGTAAAAAAAAAACAGAACATTAAAGTACTAAAAAAAATTCAAATATTATTTACGAAAAGTGGGTGCCCCATTGGATCCCTCCATCGGTGTTGATTACGCTTCGGCCCTGTCGGACAGAGAGAAGTGGGCAGCGAAGCTCATGGCGGCAAAACGTTGTGTACATGTTGCCGTCGAACATTTTCTCGATCTACTCGAAATGTACATCGTTCCGACACTTTTACCGGGCCGTTTCTTCTTCAGAAATGTCTACAGAATCCGATCCTGAGTAGAGTTTTCGTGCCGAACAAAAAACTTTTCGTAAAAATACAAAATTATTGCGCAGAAACTGCTCACGTCGACACTTTTTTAAACTTTGACATTAATTTATTGCTATTTAGGACCAAGAACAATTAATAAATTGCATGCCACTATTATTCGGGAAACTCTTCTCTATCTTCTAACACCAATTAGAACTTTCTAACGTTTTTTGTACTTTTCATGCAATACTTAATTTTTGTCGAAAATTTTGGGTTTTTACAAAAGTTCGTTTATTTAAAAAACTGAGGGTGATGGAGCAATTCGGTCTTCGGATTCTTGTTCAGGGAGTGAAGCTCTACAAGAATTTCATAGTGGCTATAGGAACCCAAAAATCGTGTCGGATAGTGTTATTGAAACAGAGGAGAGAGAGAGAAATTTTGAATCAGCCGGTATATTTGTAGCTGGACCCTATGTATCGAAAAATGAAATAAGTTCGTATATACGCATGCTTTTTGATAGAATTCACATAGCTCCGATCTTTGTTTGCTAAAGTGATTTCTAGCATAAATTTTCACAATTAGGATTGTATTTTATGAAATGTTACGAAAACTACTGAATATAGCAAAAATGTCACATGTTAGTGGTAGACAGCTATAAATGAAATAATACTATTTACATATATGAGAAATCCATGGAGTAGTCACATTTACAAGTCATGGAATTTCGGTAGAAAATTAGTCTTGCAGAAATGCAGCTTAATTATCTTGAATGTATAATTTCTGATAGAATGATAGCATCCGATTATACTATCTGAAAAAAATTGATAATCGTGTATAAATCAAATTTAGTTTTATTGTATGCAAATCCAGATATGAGAATAATAGACAGATTATTGATAATTGTTACACAGACATCTGGAAGTGATATTTGTGAAGTGACCGAAAATAAATATTAATAAGATATATGAACTAGAGAGAATTATATTATAAATATATTCAAAAATATTTTATTTAAATCAAAATATATCAAATAATATTAATGCTATATTTATTGATCTCATATATTCTTTTATAATAGCGTCAGTCCTTTTAATACAAAATCTGATTCATACTGGCAGCGAGAGTCTGACAGTTACACTTTTTGCTGTTACAAAATGTTTTAAATAATAGAACAATTCCGTCGAATTATGCACGTTTATGCAACCATACCATGATTAGGTATTAATAAAAATTAGAGTAATATTTCATTTCGTATTTAATCTACATTTCGTCTACAATAATTGAGCGTTCTGTCACTTTTGAGCGTTAAGCATGATGTGTATATGAACTTTTTTCATAGCTCCCATATCTATGGTTTGAAAATATATGCTACATTTTTCAAATATTTCAAACGAATACATACAAATAGTTGAACGTGGAAAATATAGAGAATCCTTGAGAATTAAATAACAGGTCCAGTATGACAATAATAACATTGGTTCTACGATAATGTATTCAATGATATTAATGCAGCAAAGGAAATATTTTACAATTTCATTTGAACAATACATGGTGTACGTATCAAAGAACGTATTTGCGGAGCCACAACGAATGTGTAACAAACAGTTTCGATCATATTCCGATACATTTTCATTCTTAATTACACTGCTAATCACCAATTTTTGCATTTCGATAACTAGTTGACGATTTTTATAGATTCTAATCTCTAAAATAAATTTTAATCTCGCTGTTTATAAATATCATAAATAACACGTTTAAATGTTTATAATATTTGCAAAAAACACACGTTGGGAATACGCAAGGAACATTGGTATAGTATTTATGGTTAAAGCTGAAAATAGTTCAGAAAATGTCTTTTTCAAAATTAGTTCCCATAAAAAGGAAGAATATTGGAAAAGAACGATTTTTGATGCGTGTGTAGTGCATCCAATATTTATAAGTATCGGCTATTAATTATGGAAACGCAAACAGAAAGGTGAAAATTAGTTGGACAATGTTGTTACTGCTTAACTGGCTGACCGCCGTATCGTTGAGATATGGCACACTTTGTATTGTTGATTTCACGAGAACAAATTAAGAAAATTATTAATATGATAGAATTTTTAATAATGTGTTAATTAATCAATGCAATTCGACGTAATATGAGGAGATGAAACCTTTTGTACATATTGTTGTAGCAGACATTGCGTTGATTGTCCTATTAATTTTAATTGAAGCGTACACCACGACTTATTGTTAGACTACGAACGGTGATGCAAATTTACAGAGACTGGCATGGATCGAAACCATACTCCTCGTGTTAACAGTTTTATTAAGTTATCAAATAAAATGAAATTTGAATTACGCTAAATTTAAATATCTACAATAAAGCCTCTCGTGTACAACTAGAATTACTCTCTGCAACCAATGGTCTCTCTGTTAATAAATAATATCCAATATTTATATACAAAGCATTCTTTTCTGTGTTTGATCAAACAAATCATGATCATTACGATTTTATTATGGAATTTTCGTACGGTTATACGAATAAATTTATGCAAATTAAAAATCGGAAGCATATGAGATTCGTAAATATTGAAATGATAAACGCGCGTTCTTATTAATACGGAAGTGGAGGCTTTATTGTTTTCAATTGTATTTCACTCAAATGTGTTTGTTAAGAATGCATACAATAATGTGCAGTCTACTTAAACTATATAATTCTTCAACCGATATCGTATCACTTTTGACCCCCTATGAACATGTACAGAACAGAGCTCTTATTAACCAATATTGTTCAGTACGGCAGTTTATTTATATTGAAAAATATATCGTTCTATTATATAATTATGCAAAGAAAAACGAATAATGACTGAAGTGATCCAACGTTTATTTGAAATTAATTCAAAATTCCTGTTTCTAAAATATATAAATAGATTGTTTATCATTACTACATAGATAGGAATGTACATGATGTTCCAAAATTACGTTACTTCCGCGAAATGAGGGATTACTGAGGTCATTTGAGGTAACTTTTTCTTTAGCGAAAATGCAAACCGCGGCTTTGATTACGAGTTATTAACGAAAAACACTGACCATCGAGGGACGATGTTTTTCGTTTGTAAACAAAGCTGCAGAATGCATTTGCGCTAAAGAAAAAGTTACTTCAAATGACCTTAGGAACCTCTCATTCCCGCTTGTACAATAATTTTGGAACACCCTGTATATTCCTTTCTCGTCGCATTTAAAATTGTTTAACAATGATACGAAAATCATCCAAAAATTATGCGTTACAATTAAATACTAACAGAAGTAACTTCAAACAATTGCATTCATTTATGAAATCTTAGAGGTAAGATTTTTTTCAACAATCGCTTTTAATAATATTGGTTCTGAGTCGCGAAAGGAATTGATTACGTGTAAAGTAATACGTAAATTTAAAAACAAATTTACGATATGAAGAAGTTTGTAAAAATCAGAATTGAAATGGTATTGGTTCTTGGTTATACTGTTAGATTGTTGTCTGTCTGGAAATACATTTGAAGTCGATATTCTTCGTGAAACGAATGTAGTTCTTGTAAAGTCCGACGATCAAATTGTAATTCTATTCAAAGTGTCTGAAAATAGGGTTAAAATAAACATACAACGGATCTGAACGAATCCATTTTTAGTTCTAACTGTTAGAACCGGTTCAAGTCAGTAAAATTATTAAAAAAGTATCTCTGAAGAGAAAATTGAATCGCCATACAATATTGTTGCGAATTACACCATTTCTCTCGCGTCGCGGCATTTTATATATATTTACAATAAAGAATATGAACTATGATACAACTCGATTCAATTATATTACAGATCGTTGAATTTGAAATGTTGATCGTTCGACGGTTACATTCATCAATACAGCATTACAGCGACTTGATTTGGACAAGCCGCCGTAACAATATTGATATCCAAATCGTGGACTGTTCGGTTTCCGCAGACTCGTCGACCAATTTCAGCGGCTCGTAGATGAGGAATCTCTACTCTATCGCTGATAATAATCCACTCATTTTATTTACATTTAATATAGAATATAACACAACGCAATTCGATTATGTAACAGATCTTTGAATTTGAAATGTTGATCGTTCGACGGTCCGATCTCGACTCTCGACTGTCCGTTGGTATCACTCTTCCGTGATACTCGTCTTTCCTATCTTCCATTATTTCTTAAGGAGTTGTCCGCAACAGGGCAGTTTCACATTTCGAACTAAAAGATATTTTCGAAAAGTATTCGAACGTCTATTAAAACGCGATAGCTTTTTTGAAACTGGACCGAATAACGTGCATTTTTTCTTTTTTAATGTTAAAGGGACAAGTTTAACGTACGATGACTAGAATACTTTTCCTTTAATTTTATTACCACTTGGAACGATAAAAGAAGATTAAAAAAACTCTGATTTCTTAACATTTTTATCCGAACTCGAAATCTGGGAAATCGAGATTTTCTGCGAACCGATTTTCTTGAATTTTTGTGATAAAATGTTCCGTGAACATTAATATTGTTGCGAACCTCTCTGTTTTTCTCGCGTCGTGGCATTTTATTTACATTTAATATAGAATATAACACAACACGATTCAATTATATAACAGATCTTTGAATTCGTAGAGTTCGCATAATTATTCCGCGGCAACCCCTGTCTTCCATTATTTTCTAAGGAGTTGTTCGCAACAGGGCAGTTTCATATTGCAGCGACTTGATTAGGACAAATCGTCGTAACAATATTGATATCCAAATCGTGGACTGTTCGGTTTCCACGGATCGTCGAGCAATTTAAGCGACTCGTAGACGAGGAATCTACTCTGCTATCTTTGTTTACAATTGGAGCGACTTGATTTGAACAAGAGCCCCCGTAACAATATGTATTGTTGAAGACCGAGAAAGGGGTGGATAACGCGTGTCTCTCTGGCGATTACGCAGCCGTTTCGCGATTCTCGACGATAACAAACAGGTCTATAACGATGTCACTCGTTCCATCTATTAGACTTGCAGATATGGAAACATATTTATACTAGACAGCACATTGTTACTGTTAATAAGAAGCGTAATTATCATAGCCTAGAAACTAAGTCGGCTAAAGGTTGCGAGTTCGAATTATAATTACATATATAGAATTGATATTTCTAAGTGAAATTATTATCCGCGTGACTGCGCATCGCGCGAAAGAAAAGAACGCGTGTACGATGTTTCTGCGTGAACAGAGAAAAACTTGCTTCATATATATTCATCTCTTGCCTGAACACGTTGCGAAAGGATGATTTCATTTTCTGATAGAGTGTATGTATATGGAATGGGCAAAAAGTTGTTGAACGGAGAGCTCCAGATTTCTTAGGATTAAGAGAGAAACGACGCGAGAGAGGGAAAGTTCCCTAGACTCGATCGGTCCCCTCGACTTTTGGAACGGCGAACGGGGTAGATTGACCAGTTAGCTGTGTTCGACGAGTATACTCGTCGCGGAGAAATGGCAGTATTTTGTGACACGACGAGTATACTCGTCGTGCGTAAGAAGTAGCGACCATTGGCTATTGAAATTGTAATTTTAGTGAAATTAAAAACATATTCTCAAATTTCAAGAAGTTTAGGATNCAGTAAAATTATTAAAAAAGTATCTCTGAAGAGAAAATTGAATCGCCATACAATATTGTTGCGAATTACACCATTTCTCTCGCGTCGCGGCATTTTATATATATTTACAATAAAGAATATTAACTATAACACAACTCGATACAATTATATCTTAGATCTTTCAATTTGAAATGTTGCTCGTTCGACGGTCCGATCTCGACTCTTCGATTTTTCCGTTGGTAACACTCTTTTCCGTGGCAACCCCTATCTTCTATTATTCTTTAACACGTTCCGTGCCGGGCTTTTTTTACTCGAATCTTCACACTTTGATATTTTACTAAAACTTGATGTATTACGTGCAATTATTAATTCTCGTACACATAACAACGTAACAAAAACTTATCAACGCCCATTCTTGCGGTGGAAATTGATTCTTCGGTTCTAAATTTCTCGTAAACAATTTGTTCAGTTCACTAAGTAAATATGCAAGCGTGTACCATCGATGGTACACGTGGCACGGAACGTGTTAAGGAGTTATACACAACAGGGCAGTTTCATATTACAGCGACTTGATTTAGACAAGTCGCCGTAACAATATCAATAATCGTAAATTAAAAAATGTGTAACCTGTTATTTAGACGGTTCCCATAAAGCCATTATTAAAATTACACAACTAAGAAAATCGAAGGATATAGATCACCGTTCACTCGTTAGAAAACCTTTGGATTTACTCTACATATACAACGTTACATGCTAAGGTCTCCCATTTTCTAGCGAAAGTCGTGGGATCAAAGTTCAGACACTTACCATTTTAAACCAACTCCGAGAGGTTCTTTTTCTAAACTTCCGTCAATACACTTGTACTGAGGCGTGCAACGGATTCTATTATCATGAAAACTTATCTATCATTACGAAAATGAAGATCGTTTATGGTTTTGTTCCACTTGTTCCTAAGTACACTTAATAATCTTCTTTCCAACAAACTTGCTACATTCGTTTTACCACGAATATACTCATATTTTATGTATTTCAAATTTCATTTACGATTTTGTTCTCACTGTACTAATTGCTGTTGTTCATCTTATTTACGTTATAGATATAAATTTACGCTTATTTAATTACGATTACTTAGGGTGCAGCAAAATATTTCCAGTAAGCCAAAGACGTCAAACATAAACAGGTCTGAAAGTTACAAAGAGCGGATACATCACAAGGTGAGGACTCCCTTTTTACTAATTTTTTTACTCTTATTCTAACTAATTTTCAGTAAGCTTCCACGAGATGTATAGATCGTTTGAGTCACTTGAGATTTTATTTATACCGGGTGATTTTCTAAGGATTAGCATTTGAATAGTTTCGTTATTTTTGACAATATGGAGAAACTTGATTAACAAAAGTATTCCAGCATATACGTAGAGTCCTATAATATGGTAGTACAAGTTAAATGGAATCATATCCTTTGTATTTATTTTTTAATTTTAAATAGGATCATATCTTTTTATATATTAGTTTAAACAATTCAATATTTTCTATAAGAAGGTACATATTTACCAACGTATGTCAACAAATGATTATTTCAGGAGATATTTTAACTTTGCAAAAACATCTCAAGATGTTGGGCAAACGTGGATTTCGTACAAAAATGTGGACTCTAAATTATACGGGGTTATAAAATAACCTGTGGTCATTTAAAGTAACTTTTTCCTTAGCGAAAATTTTCGTTGATAACTCTTTAACGAAACCGTAACCAGCGTTTCCGCTAAGGAAATGTTACTTGAAATCGCCTCAGTATATAATCACCCTTTTCAAGGACTTACGAGATTTTTTGGGCATCCTGAATATTTATGCATAGTAAACTTTTTAATATCGGATCTAAAACAGTAGGACGAAGATTCGGACGATTTTTATTTCCAGTGTGACAATGCAAGTTGCCATGAGAATTAAGATGTTCAAGATTACTTACGACAATAAAAACAATTTAACTATAAAGTGATCAACAAATTGTCCAAATCTAAGTCCGGTTGAATAATTATATATATAAATCAATGTACGAAAAAATATATGATCCTATAAAAAAGATTGAAGGTGACCTTGAAATCTCTGAAACTTTTTCAGCTGGAAATAAATTATTACAGCTGTATTATGATCCTCTATATACTAACGTACTTTTGTTAACACTAAACCTACCACGACCAAAGTGACCGCTTTCTTATTTTGCAATTCTGAGAAGTTCCGAGACTCTTTCGTGGAAAACGCTTGAATAAGTTATATTATTGGAGCAAGTTTTATAATAAAAACTTTACAAATTCTAAATAAATTCGGTCTTCTCATTTTTGTGAAGCAGTGCATGCCAGTTAGTATTACTGCTTGGTAGGTTTAGTGTTAATAAAGTTTCTTCATATCATATCCCTTTGACATTCAAGTGCTAATTCTTACTGGAACAGCCTGCGTATTATTTTTTGAAAAATACGACTACATTAAATTTTGTAGAAGCAATTTGTCTTAGAAACCCTTGCCGGACCAAATTTCTACATATTCTTGTGACTTCTCTTTACAGCGACAACTACGGGAAAAAAGGAAGACCAGTGATCCAAATCTTTCCAAAACAAAGTAAGTATTTTTTTCTCTGAATTACCCAATATTCAAATATCAGATAGATTAACAAATATTTTTGGGCGAGGTATGATCGTACACGGCCAACAAATTGAATAAATTCGCTTTTGTATTATCATTACTAAAAGTTTAGATTGTTCTAAAGTATCCATTNAAGTCCGGTTGAATAATTATATATATAAATCAATGTACGAAAAAATATATGATCCTATAAAAAAGATTGAAGGTGACCTTGAAATCTCTGAAACTTTTTCAGCTGGAAATAAATTATTACAGCTGTATTATGATCCTCTATATACTAACGTACTTTTGTTAACACTAAACCTACCACGACCAAAGTGACCGCTTTCTTATTTTGCAATTCTGAGAAGTTCCGAGACTCTTTCGTGGAAAACGCTTGAATAAGTTATATTATTGGAGCAAGTTTTATAATAAAAACTTTACAAATTCTAAATAAATTCGGTCTTCTCATTTTTGTGAAGCAGTGCATGCCAGTTAGTATTACTGCTTGGTAGGTTTAGTGTTAATAAAGTTTCTTCATATCATATCCCTTTGACATTCAAGTGCTAATTCTTACTGGAACAGCCTGCGTATTATTTTTTGAAAAATACGACTACATTAAATTTTGTAGAAGCAATTTGTCTTAGAAACCCTTGCCGGACCAAATTTCTACATATTCTTGTGACTTCTCTTTACAGCGACAACTACGGGAAAAAAGGAAGACCAGTGATCCAAATCTTTCCAAAACAAAGTAAGTATTTTTTTCTCTGAATTACCCAATATTCAAATATCAGATAGATTAACAAATATTTTTGGGCGAGGTATGATCGTACACGGCCAACAAATTGAATAAATTCGCTTTTGTATTATCATTACTAAAAGTTTAGATTGTTCTAAAGTATCCATTACTACGTTACACATGTACAAATAAAATAAAGTCCAGTATAAAATGGAGGAATGTGGAATATTGAATAGCGTTAACGTATTCTGCGATTATGCATTTTAATAAGAAAAATTGAGTAAAGTAAGAAACTGTAATGCTAGTTTCTGTACTGTTCAGTTATTACAATTAGGCGAGGATAAACAATGGGTGACAATAAATCGTAGACATTTAATTATTAATTACTATTTTATTTTACTTAAAAGTAACCGGTGCAAACATTCTCATTCAACTCTTTGGGTCTTAAGGCACAAAGTTGATTTTCAAGATTGTAGTGTTTAGCCTGCAACGTCTTAAACTATCTTCGACAACATAAGTCTGCAAAACTTATTTTTTGTGCGGCTTAGTCTATACCTGATATTGGTAAAGTAGATAACAATTTATCTTTCATTTCTAGTAGTAGCTACGCATCAACCCTAATTTCTGGCTATCCCTATTTTTTAGTTTTTTTTTTCAATCATTCGAATATCTAACAGACGCAAGAAATACATATTTACCGTTTAAATTTGTTTAAATTTTTACGATGGATTTGGATGGCAAATTTGGACATTCTTTAATATAATCTCGATGCATTTTGCTATATGTGTCGCGGAATAAACTAAAAGAACGCCGGAAACAATATCATTTTTATTATTTTAGTTTCCTTAATATTCAAATTTAATTGAATATTAAGGATTAAATATTAAGGATAATTTTAATTGAATATTAAGGATTTAATATTAAGGATAATTTTAATTGAATATTTACGTGAAGCAGAAAATCGCTTAGACGACATTTGCTCTTAATACGATTACAATTACCTTTAACAACAGAAATGTTAATTGCGGAGCCTAACAATGCAGCTCGTTCGCGCATTCTTCCTTTTTTCAAAAAATATAATTTGCGAATTTAGATATAATATATGTATACATAAATCTCCTCTGAGTTTTTGGGGATAAGTAATGTTGCCGGACGGGTCGTGACTAATATAAACGTATTATCTACACATTTTTCAACTTAATTTTCTCGTAAACGAAGCTTCAAACGGACAAAAAACTTTTTTTTCGATTTATTTTCGCACGTAGAATCGCCTCTGCTCGATAGTAACACCTTGTATGATGTATGATTCGTCTTCATGTTCATACGTATATGTAGACGTATGAAACAGATAAGTCACAATTGTGACGAGTTTTATGGTTTAAGTTCTGTTCTTAGGAAAACCGCATTACGCATAAGATGACGTATTAAGTAGTTCCATGTTTTGTGCGTTAAAGCAATTTTAACCATATTTAAATTACAACACAATTTCGAGAACAAGTTGATTAATTGTTTTGTTTAATAAACGCGAAATAGTAATGACAGTTATTCCCATTGCACATTGCAATTCGTCAAAATGTCTCAGTTTCGCGGCAGTCAATATTTGTCTGCATGAAAATAAAATGAAATCGTACAATAGGCTAGTAGAAATAATTCTTGTCGTGGTTGATTATTTTAAACGTACCATTTATATTTTTCTAAAAGTTGCAATTGTTTCAACTGGAAAATGTATTCCAAAGCATACGAAATCGCTCGCTTTATGTTTCTGAGAACAGAAATTATGACGGTAGTAAAAATTCTGAAATAACTCTATATGTGTATATAACTATACAAAAGTATTTATAAATAATTATAGAAAATTTCAGTAGAATCGATTTATTAATTTCAAAGATATTTTCTTGGCACCGATTTCGAAGACATAGTTCCGAGAAAAATGCGTTCAAAATGATAAATACTTTATACTTAAAATATAATGGTTTCTGTTAAAAATAAATAGAATTTTCATTTGTATAAACTTGTTAACTATCTTACAGTAAAATATTGCATACAAATAAGAACCAGTCTTAAAGGAGACCAAAAAGAATTATTTAAAAATTTTTAATGAAAAAATCAGTGGAAAACATATTTATTGTTCAAGTTGGAGCCTATTATTAATCGCGAGATATAAAAGAAATTATTCAAAAAATAACAATTACGGTTAATCGAAAATATTTGTCGTCGCCAATAAACATCAACTATGACGGAATTTCTATTTCGGTCGCTTACAATAATCTTCGACGGAAGGAATTTATTCCAGTTACTCGTACGTAACACTTATCGGCGAGGGAAATTTTGTTTTTCTCATTCATAATTCTTGTCAGTGGCGGAAATCTTGATTCGGTGCTAATGACAGTTCTGAGCAATGAGACAATAAGAAGAAACACAATATGGTTAATGTCGCGTGATTAAGATAATTTTCAAAGAATACACTCTTTTCTCCTTAACAATAACAATAACTGTTATGACCAACACAAAACAATTTTCCTCATCAATAATGATTATAGACGACGAAAACAAAAGTCAAATATTAATTACTATTGTTCATAACTAAAAACATTGAAGGACCTCGATTAAACCTCGATCTATCAATTTTTGATTCGGCTAATTGAACTTCTATTGTATCAAATATTATGTTGAAAATGTCTAATTCCTTTTCGTTAACACCTAACTGATATAAACTTTCCAGTTTTATGCCAGAAGTCTCCGTATAGTTCCAGACTTTTTGTTGATTATTTGTGTCTTTCGCGTAGAGCACGTACAATATCACTACTGTCACTATCGCTTCCGGAAGTAAATTTTCTTTTCTAAAACATTTCTTAGTGACACTTTATTAACATGGCTAAGAAAATATGTATATTTTACGTGTCAACGCGGCCATGAATAACACGATAACTGAAATGATTGCTGATAATCTTCTATAGGGTTATGTCAAGGTTATAAATATAGTATATATAGTATATGTATATATAAGTATATTTCACGTGTCAAGGCGGTCACGAATAACACGATAACTGAAATGAATGCTGATAATCCTGTATATGGTTCACAGCTTATAAAAAAAAATGGCACTTGTCATTTACATAGGGCCTGACCCAAAAAATATATTTCGAACAAAACTTATTTGGAATAAAGAGGGACATATACGGCAGCAACTAATTTTTTGCTCTTTTGCATTTGTATCAAGATATGAGGGTTACTTTGAATATCTATTAAACAGTGAATAAAAAATTATTGAGATGCAAGGTTACATTAACTCAATTAATGTAATCGTGTAGACGATTAAGCAGTGAGTGTGACACATATGTGTGTTTCGTATTTTGATAAAAAAAAGGAAAATAGCAAAGGATTAATTGTAGCCCCTTTATACCATTTAAACATTCGTTCGAAACATCTTTTTATAAAACACGTAGTTTACAACAACAACAAAATTACGGTGAATGAATTAAATGACTCACTCTGTACACTCTGCGACTCTGAGACACTACAAAAATTGTCTCACCATAATTCAGTACTACGTTTATGTTCCTAAAATTGTTTGTATTTAATCTGGTATGAGAAAATTTAAATGCAATTGATGAAGAAATATATCGTGCAGTTTAAATTACTTCGAATGCAGGTTAAAAGATTTTTTTAAGAAACCACCCGTGATAATCATGTTTGGCCACGAGTCTCACACATGGTTGTAGGGAAAAGGGTTAACTGGAATGAGTTCTCCGGCCGAAGGGCGTACGAAACGGATTTATGATTAGAAATGAAGGGAGGGTCTCTTGGAAAAGGCCTAAGCAGAAAAGTTCCCGAGGGTTAGTTGAATAGCTAAAAGGTTTTCACGTAGACCGTAGTTGCAGCAGGTAAATTCATGTTCGCAAGAAACAGTTAGCTTCATACCATATTTACGCTAAAGGCACAAACTTTTGAAAAGCTATTCAAACTTATAGACAAATATTATTATTAAATAACAGTTCTATTAAATAAAAACAACTTCTCCAACAAAATAGACATATTCTTTATTAAATTAATTAATATTAAAATATTATACAATATATAATTAATATAAAATATATATTAATATTAAAATATTAAAATATATTAAAATATTCTTTAAAAATAGAATTACAGGCAGGATTGGAGTAAAATTAGTGAAACAAATTTTAAGTCAACTGCATCACCTTTTCCCATCGTCTTACTGACACCCCCCTTTTGTAGAAATGATTTTTCTATCGAGTAAAGCAAATTTAGAGGGTCGCGCACCAAATTTTCGATAGTCAAAAAATTAGATCCACCCTGGTTGAGTATGTTCGAGAAAGTGTGTCACGTATATGAAAGATTCGCGTGAATTCTTTTTCGTTGACGAACTACTTGCATACTTCCATCGAGATACGGAACGAATCATAGCACCAAGTATTTCGACAATTTCCTCAAACTGTCTTGCGTAATTGTATAATTGCCAAAATAGATTCGTTACGAAAATTGCTTCAATTTCAAAGGTCTTTGAATTTCGGAGTAAATGTTTATTTACTGAGATGAGAGTAACAATTTTTCAGTTGAAATCAAGAGTTCGTTGTGCAGGCTACTTCTGCCATCATCATAGAGAGACATCGAAACTTCTATTCAAACTGCAATCGAAATCGGTTCATTTCAGAAACTTCGATCGAAATACTTCCCAAAAGTATTCAAACAGACATTGTTGTTGAATATTATAATGATCGTACAAAACCATAAGTTTTAATTTTATTTTCTTAATAATTATCATTTATTAATTAAAATTTCTTCATTCTGTTGAAGTAATTAATATGCAGGATGTTTCTTCTAACCGTATACGACGAAAATCAAAAAATAAGAAATTTGTTTTTGTCAGAAGGTTCTTTAACACGTTAAGTGCTGAAGATCAATATCAAAAATTCCAACAATATCAAAGCCATTTAATTTATGAAAACTAAAAAGCGAAGATTTACCATAGGAAACGTTAGTTTAACTCT